TTGTATAAAAAAAGGGATATTTTAAGTTAGAATGAGAAAAAAAGAGAAAGTCTTTAAAAAAGACTCCACTAGATATTTATTTGCTCAGAAGGACTTGGAAAAGTTTTTCAAATGAGGTACTTTGGTGTTATTAATTTGGAGGTGAAAATGACAAGATTATCCTTACCAAATACTCTGTCCCTCCCTCCTCTCTTGCTCCTCTATGATTTTTTGTAGCAACATTGAAATTGTTTTGGGTTGCAACTGTGGTTTCGATTGCGACAACAAGTTATTGTGTAACATCTTAAATTTTCATTCCTGGATTAAGTTAAATAATTAAGTATAATTAGTTAAAATTGGGTATTAATTAGTTTGATTATGGTTAGTGATGGCTGATAAACCTACTAATTTTGGGATAGCCTTTAGATTAGGTCCCAATTGTGTTAGGCCACTTGGGCCCAAATTAAGAGGCAATTCAAATTGGCCCGTAACATTTATGGATCAAAAATCATATTTCTCAACTAAAGCCTAACTTTTAAATTCAAGAAAAATGGAAGGGGAAGGAAAATAAACACTTAGGAAACTTACCTCTAGTATTTAAAAGTTGTAAAACACTTTCAATGCTTCAATCCTTCAAGCTCTAACAAAGCTCCTCATGCCTTCTTCTTTTATCTTTTGCTTTCTTTATGTTTTGCTTATAATGCGAGCCTATTTTTGCATAATCGTGGCCATGCATTGCCACAACATGTGGAGACTTTGGCATTTTGATGGGTTGTATACCGAGACATATGGCAAAAAGTCATTTCACTTTGTTTTTCTCATTTTTTAATATTCAAGTGGCCCTAGTTTATTTCAGGCCCAATCTTAGGGCAGAAATCACAATTCAAAACGCTCGTTAACTCTTTATAATCACACACACCATAGTAATTTATTTAATTAATTTCATTTTTTTAACTAAATAAGGATTAAATTCTTCAGGATGTTATAGCTTGCATGCTGAGAGCAAACATGAATAAAAAAGAAATTACATGAAATAAAAGATGGAAAATCAAAAGTAAAAGGCACGGTCATACTATTATTGTTGTTATACTAGGAGCTAGCAATCTACTAGTTACTTAAAAACTTCAATATTCTTTGTTAGATCATTGCACTCTAAAGGTGCTGTGTTGAATCTATTAAAGGATAAAAAAAGTTATGCAGGGCAAAGTAAGGGATGGCACAAGGTTAAAGTTTTAATTTTATATTGGGCAAGTAGATTTTGAAGTATTCAGATAGATTATTGAAAAGTTGTGTATAGTGTTTAAGAGTTGAAAATCCCTATGTGTGTGGCTTCCTCCTTTTATAGACATCAAGTGACAGTTTTCTCCATAGTTCATACTCTACTTTCTTAAGGCACTAGCTATAATTTTTTCTCATATTTCTTCACTTTTGTCTCCTTGCCTAAGTGATGCATATTTAACCAAGTCTTTCCATAATTTTCTTCCTTCAAAAGTCCTTCTAAAAAATCATATTTTGTTTGGGCTTATTTATAACTCGTGGGAAGTTGATTTTCTTAATAATTTCCTTATATATACATTCTTTTTTAAAGGATAAAAAAAGTTATGCAGGGCAAAGTAAGGGATGGCACAAGGTTAAAGTTTTAATTTTATATTGGGCAAGTAGATTTTGAAGTATTCAGATAGATTATTGAAAAGTTGATAAAGAGTCCCTATGTGTGTGGCTTCCTCCTTTTATAGACATCAAGTGACAGTTTTCTCCATAGTTCATACTCTACTTTCTTAAGGCCACTAGCTATAATTTTTCTCATATTTCTTCACTTTTGTCTCCTTGCCTAAGTGATGCATATTTAACCAAGTCTTTCCATAATTTTCTTCCTTCTAAAAGTCCTTCTAAAAATCATATTTTGTTTGGGCTTATTTATAACTCGTGGGAAGTTGATTTTCTTAATAATTTCCTTATATATACATTCTTTTTTTTCCTTATACATGAAATATGTGCAATATTTTAGGAATGTGGAAAGATGAAAAGTCAAGTTCATGCTTGAATATGTGCCAACAACAACATTTAAAAGAGGATTCATCAATCCAACCATTATGAATCATTAGAAGAATTTTTTGAAGAGAATCCCATTGAAGAATTTGAACAAAAGCAAATAGGCAAAACAACTCTTAATTACATTTCTTAGTATCATTGAATTGAATTATATTCTCCAAGCTTGTATAGACAATTTTTTTTTATAGGTTTATCTCTTATAGATGAATCATTTTTCCATATGAAATTTGCTATATAGAATGTAAAATACATTTATTTTAAACTCAATGTAAAATGTAAAACATGAATCATGTATTATTTCAATGTGAAGGAATCAAGTTGTTTAGTACTTGAGTTGTTCCACATTTAATAAGTTTCATTGTAAAGTTAATGATTCAAGGACTTTTTTTTTTCATTTCTAACACTTGGTTTTTAAAATATCAAAAATGTTTTCATGAAAAATGAGAAATATTTTCAAAATATTAAAAAGCATATACTAAAAATTGAGGTAATCATAAGTGTTTTCATGAAAAATTATACAATTTTTAGAATATGCAAAATGTATATTTGAATATAAGGTGCATTTGATGTGGAATTTTGACATCAAAATTATTCTTTTTAGAATATGCGAAAAGCATATTAGAATATAAGGTGTATTATATCTAAAATTTTGATACCAATATATTTTCTCTTAGATTATGCAAAAAATACAGTCAAATATAAGGTGCATTCCATCATCATTTTATTTGAATATCACAAAAAGACATCTTGAAAATTGAGGTGATAGAGGCTGTGTTTTACTTTTAACCCTTAATTTATTTAAATTGAGATTGCATATCTTGAAAATGCAATTTAGCCTTCATTTATTTTAATATACATTTTGGATATCCTAAAAATTTATACTTAATGTCATGTTCAAGACAATATGCGACCCTTCAAGAATAAATGTTCAACCATACGTGAGCCTTTTGACACAATATGCAAGTACCCTTCAAGAAATAAATGTAATTTAGCTTTCATTTATTCGAATGACCATTTTGGTTATCCTAAAAATTTATACTTAATGTCATGTTTTAAGACCATATGTAGATATCTTCAATCATATGTAAAATTTCTTCCGTGATATTTGATCACCCTTTAAGAAAATGCAATTTAAATTTCATTTGTTAGAATAACCATTTTGGATATCCTAACATTTTACACTTAGTATCATGTTTTAAGACTATATATAAGTATATTCAATTATATGCAACCTTTAAAGGAAATGCACTTTAGCTTCTTCTACGATATATGATCACCCTTTAAGAAAATACAATTGACTTTCATCTATTTAAATATTAATTTTGGATATCGTGAAAATAAAGACTTGCTTTACACATTGACACTACAAGACCTTGTTTAACGTATTAATATTAAAAAACCTTATTTTACATATTAACAACAAAGGATGTTGTGACATATTAACAGTGAAAGAGTTTGTGTGAAATATTGATAGAAAAAAATCTTTATCAACTTTTGTATCTTTTTTTTTAATTAATAAAAACATTTTTATCATTTAGCCTGCAGTAGTTATTGAGAGTGAATGACCTTTTTTAAAATATGCCCAAGTCTTTATGCAGAATAAATGTGTAATAAAGTCTTTTTAGTAATTTTTTTAAAATAAGAAGTGAAATAAACAAATAAACATGAGTACCCCACAACAAGCTGCCTTGGTGGGGCCTTCTCGTTTTAACTTTTTCTCTAGAACCTCACATTACTCCGAAGCTACTGAATATTCCAATTAAGCAAAAAGAAAGAGGAAAGAAGGAAAGAAAGAGAAGCTGAAATCTGTTGCGTATTCAATGGTATAAAGATATTTGGAGAGTTTTTCATTTAAATAGCCATTTGTAGTTAAGCGGGGAAATGAAGGGCTTTGCACGAGGATAATCACAATTAAGGATCATTTTAAACTAATTCTCATAATTTTGAATCGGGATTCTGCTATTTTCAATTGAATCCTGTTATATTTATTGTTTATAGTGTTTGGTTGGACCAAAACACCAAGTAAATATCGATACATGATGAGTCTAAAATTATCTCTCATATCATAATTGGGATTATATTATTAAAGTTGTAATTAAGATAATGAATAATTATAAATAAAAAAATAGAATTTAGTGCGGGAAATCAAATCGTGCAACACACGGAATTCAATCAATATCATGTATAATCAACCTTGAAAAAATCAATACAAATTTCTGTGAAAGATTTCAAATAAATATTGATATGGCATATACTTTACTCAATTGTTTCATCTATAATTCGTCACGGAACTAATATAGTGAGATTGAAAGACGGGAATGGTAAGTAGGAAAAGAAGAGTAAAAAATTAAAATCCCATGGGAATGGGACGAGAGTCGAGAATGACAAGAGGAGAAAAGCAAGATTGCGCAGGAAGAGAGGAGAGATACGAATGGAGGGTGCGTGAAATGTGAATCGCTGAGAAGCATGATGAAGATGGCGTGTGCCGGTGACTGAATGACACCTCACTCTCTCTCTCCAGATTAAATTCTTTATTGTCATTATTAATTAATATATTGCTGGAAACCACAATGCTGATTTGATGCAATGCAACCCCCTTGAGCTCCTTCCCTTTTCTGTACCCTCTTTTAACCACACCCCTTAATTCCTTTGCTTTTACACAAATTATCCCCTCATCTTTGTGGAACTGGAAGGAAAAATATTAATATTAATTTCATTATCTAATATTCATTCTATTTTTAATCTCTAAAGGCATAAATAGACAGAAAAACAAGATATGTAAATATCTAGTCAGTCCCATCTTTTTATTTATTTATTTATTTATTATGCTCTTTAAGGTTTAAAGAGTCTCATCTTTATTTAGTCATCTCATGTCAAAAACTAAATAAATGAGATTGGGAAGGAAAAGTACATTTTGTGGCCCTGATTTTATATTTTCCCGCACAAATTAAACGAAAGCCCACCAAATAAATAGCAACGGGGCTCCCTGCCCAGTTCATCTCAGATCAGCACAGCACACAATGATGATGATGGTGCTCCTTCTCCGCTCCGTCGTCATCCTCCTCCTCCTCGTGCTGTGCCCTACCCTCACGACCGCCTCCGTCACTCCCTCTCCCGCACCCCTCAACCTCTCCTTCCCTCACTTCCAACAACTTCACGTTCAACAGTCCCTCCTCGACGCTTCCCGACCTTCCCTTCCCCCCAGCTTCAACCACACCCACTCCAACGCTTGGAAGCTCAACCTCCTTCACAGAGACATCGTCTCCCGCGACGCCCACGACCATCGCTCCCGATTCGACGCCCGCATCCGCCGCGATTCCGTAAGAGTCGCCTCCCTCGTTCGCCGCCTCTCTCCCTCTTTCCACTCTGAGGCTTTCGGCTCCGACGTTGTCTCCGGTATGGATCAAGGCAGCGGCGAGTACTTTGTTACCATTGGAGTTGGCAGCCCTCCCAAGAGTCAGCTTGTGGTCATTGACTCTGGGAGTGATATCATATGGGTCCAGTGTCAGCCTTGTAGCCAATGTTACCGTCAGTCTGACCCCGTTTTCAACCCCGCTGATTCCGCCACCTTCTCCGGAGTTCCCTGCACTTCCTCCGTCTGCGACCGCCTCGAGAATGCCGGCTGCCGCGAAGGAAGGTGCCGTTATGAGGTTTCTTATGGGGACGGGTCCTATACCAAAGGGACGCTAGCCCTCGAAACTCTCACCGTCGGTCGGACCCTGATCCGGAACGTGGCGATCGGGTGCGGACACAAGAATCAAGGCATGTTTGTCGGAGCCGCCGGCCTATTGGGTCTCGGAAGTGGGACCATGTCCTTCGTTGGCCAGCTGGGAGGCCAGACGGGCGGTGCCTTCAGTTACTGTTTAGTGAGCCGGGGCTCTGGATCATCCGGGTCGCTCGAATTCGGACGCGAGGCCATGCCCGCCGGAGCCGCGTGGGTCCCCCTAAGCCGCAACCCGCAAGCCTTGAGTTTCTACTACGTGGGGCTTTCCGGTCTTGGAGTCGGAGGCCAGCGGGTGCCCATTTCCGAAGACATATTCCGGCTCACTGAATTTGGCGACGGAGGCGTTGTCATGGACACCGGCACGGCCGTGACAAGGCTTCCAACGGCGGCCTACAATGCATTCCGGGATGCTTTCGTCTCGCAAACAACAAACCTGCCCCGGTCATCGGCAGTATCCATATTCGACACATGCTACGACTTAAACGGGTTCGTAACGGTTCGGGTGCCTACCGTATCATTTTACTTCTCGGGGGGACCGATCCTCACCCTGCCAGCCCGTAATTTTCTGATACCGGTCGACGATGAAGGGACGTTCTGCTTTGCATTTGCCGCTTCTCCTTCGGGGCTTTCCATCATAGGGAACATTCAACAAGAAGGGATTCAGATCTCAGTGGACGGAGCCAATGGGTTCGTCGGATTCGGACCGAATGTTTGTTAGATTGCAAGCCACGTGTGTAAATTTTGGTAGCCGTAGTAATTTTTGATGTTAACGCTACGTGTATTATAATAATATGTTGTATCATTTACATAGAACTGAGCTAGATGGGGGGCGGGACGGGGCGGGGCATGGTTGTCGGCATTAATTATTGTAGTGATGTATCATGTATGAGGGTTGCTTTTGATGAGTTGCTAAAAGCGACGAGGAAATTGTAATACAGGCTCGTGAAATTAAGTGGGTATGATAATGTGCGTGAGAATTGATGCTTACATTGTGAGGCATGTGAGGGTCAGGGGAGTCAAAGATTGAGAGGAGGAAGATGAGGGAGGGGATAGTCAAAAAAGACTAATGGAAAAGGGGATGTTGCAGGAGAAGGGAGCCATGATAAGAGGGATCCAAGAGGGAGGCTTTTTCATAGTATTAGTGGCAGATAGAAATGATTCAGTGCCCGAGGCAAGGGGGCCATATAATTAATTAACTTTGCTTTTCTTTCTTCAACACACATGGACGCACATATGGGGAGGCCTGCCTGGCCCTCACACTTTCTCATCAATGAGACTGTCCTTTAAAATTCAAATCCATGCACGATTTACATACACACATACGTACTCCCCTTGTTCTTTTTTTGATATCAATCTTGTGTTTGAGCAGTCATAGAACCAACAACACCCATTGGTATCCGCTCGCAGGCTCTAAAGTGGTATCTTGTGAATAATTAGAGGAAGGGAATGGAGGCCAAACAGCAATAGAGGACATGTGAAAGAATCAGTAGGGAATTTGTGGCGTAGCTGAGTGACGATTCGTGTGCATTCAAGTGACCACTTTTACAAAGCGAAACATTTGCTTTTCTATTTTGCTTCTTTTCAGAGGTCAAGAAAGACACAGACATGAACATGAGGTTACGAACAACAACGGCGGAAAATAACTTTTGCGCCTGTTTTCTTCCCTTTTAAAATTCTTGATTTTTTTTTTTTGGTGTGTGGATGGAGGGAGGGAGGGAAGGGTTGAGGGGCTGTCTGAACAGTGAAGAATGGGGTATGATGTCAATAAATGTGGGGGCTGCTAGGGTTTTTGCAGGAGCTAGGCCCACCGAAAAGTAGAGAGAAATTGATGGCAAGTGTGTGTGGATTCAAGCTTTACTGCATAGATTGGAATATACTTTTTTAGAAAATATCTAACTAAATTTTAGTAAATGAAGTAATATATTATTTATGACGAGAGTAAAAAGATTTGATTGAAGGATGAGGAAATTCAGAAGAGAAGGAAGGAGGGCGTCATGGGTCTCACTTGTGTACCTGTTTTACTTAACCTACCTACTTTTTAGACGTTGCCATCTTCACATCTCTTGATATCACATCATGGAAAAAAAATACTCCCTGTATTGTTTAAAAAAAATTAGTCAAACTATTAATAATTTACTATATATAATACTATGACTTGTTCAAGAATTTATATTTTATATTAAGTCACCTCTCACTTGTTCATATTGTTTTTGATACTTTTGCATGATAAAATAGGTTATTACACTGTCAATGTAATTCAAGGATAACTCTCTCAATGTTTTTAATAATTTTGGAAAAATGACTATAAAATCTTACCAAAATATATAAATTATAATTAAGTCTTTTGAAATGACATAATTTCTCTAAAGTCCGTTGATACCTTTCTAACATTAATGATTTTAGGTTAAATAATTAACTTATTTTTTTAAAATAAAAAAAATAATGGCTTCATGTGAGAAGTTATAATTTTTTATTCAATTCTTGTGATTTACAGAATAAAAGTTGTGATTGATTATTTTTAAAACTTATACTTCAAAGTAAGAAATTTCTTGTGGGAAGTTGTGATTTCTTGGTAAAATTTTACGATTTACATAATCAAAGTTATAATTGCTTAAACAAAAGTTTTTATTGAAATTTGTTACTTTTAAAATTTATTTATAAATCATAAAAGAAATTTTATGTGAGAAGTTATGATTTTTCATTCAATTTTTGTACTTTAAAGAATAAAAGTTGTGATTGAAAAATGAAACCAGACCTTCTTTTTATTTAGTCCCTAACAAATAAAATACTTTTCACAATTTATTTTAATCAATAATTACAAGTTGCAAAATTACATAATATGTTATTATATCTGTTAATTTTATTTGTAAAGAAATTAGAAGAATTTTATAAATGATCAAATTAAAAAAATACTATGAATAAATAAAATAATAATTTGATAAAATGGACAGTTCCACTAGAGAGAGAGAGAGTTATTTAAAAAAATTTTAAATTGATGGATTTGAATTTAAATTTTAGATTTAAATTTCTTTATAATTTATGTATTTAAAAAATTTTATTTGGATTATTTGAAAATTTTAAAATGAAAAGGAGAGATGGGTTAAGATTTAAAAAAATAAAAATTAAAAATGATGAGCTTATTTCTATTATAGGAGAGTGGTAAAGAAATAGTAAAAAAAACAAAGATTTATAAATAATTGGGGTGTAGAAAAAAATTTAAAATATAAAAAAATATAATTTAAAATAGATTCATAGTTGTTTGTGTATTCAAATGAAAGATTTGGTTCAAATTCAGATATAAATCTAAATCTCATTAATCTAAATACATTATAAGTCTTGTTTTTTTTTTTCGGTGAAATATGCTCAAGGGTTTATTAATGGGTGGGTACAAGATTAGCGGATATATAGGATCATTGCTTTATTTTGTGTATTGTCGTTCATATTTTATTTTATTTTTCTTGACTTTTGCCCATGTCGAGGCCAAATTAAAATGACACATGATCGTGAATTCAAAGTCTGCACAGTGAGAGCCCCTTCTATAATCAAATCTTTTCCGGAAACAAGACACTCTTCATTTTAACCCTTTCTCAGATTCCCTTTCTGTGATCGCCATAATGAAAATAATTAAGAATGAATGGAAAGCGGACATGGATTAAAGCGGCTAGGTATGGCGTTTCATCTTTGATTCTTTTCTTGGTTGACACAAACACTTTACTGTTCTAATTGTTGGATCTGCACAATTTGCATGTGAATCTAACAAAGACAAACAAACAATAAAAGCAATCCAAACTGTGGATCTTTTTTTTTTTTTTTTCCTTTTAATGCGATGATAAAAGTGGGGAAACCAGTATCTGTCTCCCTGATTTTTTTTTTGCCAGAATTTCTCCCTGAATTCTTGAATACAGTTTATCTGTAACTGTAAGTATTCTTATTTCTTAGTTTTTTCAGCCGTCACATATTCTGAAGTTTGAACAGAGTATTGGAAATAGTATCAATTTTTTTTTTATTTACTAGTATTTCTTTTAAGAAAATCAGGAACTCCATGTTGAAGAAATTTCAGAAATTGAATTGTTAATTAACCAGAAAAATGTTTGAGAAATTATTTCAAATTGTGCTTCAATAGTTAACCAATAAATGAAAATATGTTTAATTCCTTTTTTTTTTTTAACAAACAGTTGCGATAAACAAGATACCCACATCAAGCATCGAACCTTTGGATAAACAAAAGAAACAGAGTTATACAAGTAAATAGAAACTTTTGTTTTTGTGCATACCAAATATTTCTCGTGCACATGGCTCATGCCCTTTATCCCATCATAGATCACCTATATTTCCTTCTTTACGCCTCTCAAAAAAAAAAAAATTAGCTTTTTATATGTTATAATTTTATCATCACTTTCTCTATATCACAATATATGACATCTTCTAAAAGCCTTATTTAATTCAAAATGCAAGACTTTAGGTAACTTTTATACTTATCTTTCTAGTTATACTCCTAATTCATTTATTACCCTTTATGAAAAATGATAATTAAAATTTTATTATTATTATCAAGATATTTATAAGACATTTAATAAATGTATAATTGAAAAGATATAAATTTTTAAAAAAAATTTAAAATTTTAACTAACATTTTTTAGAATCACTGCCTCCGTTCACAAATGTAAGATATTTTGTAAAAAAATTATATATTAAAAATATAATGCATTTTTAGTATTTCAAGGTACGCCTAATATTTTTTTTAGAATTAATCATTATGCTTTTTTCAAAAATACCCTTAATAAATAAATCACTTTACATTTATTTTAGAGTAAAACATTATTAAATAAAATAAATATAAAAAAATAATATTAATTTGAAAACAAATAACTACTTTATTAAAAGTAAAATTCAATTAAAATGCCTTATATTTTTTTAAAAAAAGGAGTATGAATTAATTATTAATGTCATATATTTTAACCCAGAGGGAGTATTGTACAAATTTTACTCCAATGAAATATATATAGTAATGTCATATATTTTAACCCGGAGGGAGTATTGTACAAATTTTACTCCAATGAAATATATATAGTACATGTGACCTAATTCCTTGGAAGAAAAAAAACCATCCTTGACACAGTTGAGCATGGGAAATACAACAGCCATTGAAGAACATTTGGCAATCCATGCAGTGTCCAAGGTAGAGATAATTCTGGGAATATAAAAGAAGAAAAAGGTCGGCTGCTCAAGGAAATTTTCCACAGAGAGAATCTAACTAGTATATTTACAGACTTCTTTATACTACATAGCTGTTGCAGGGGAACAAAAATGCCCTTGAGGGCTTCATAACCTATTAAGGTACACCGAAAATAAACCAGCCTTCCCTACCCAATATGAGCAACACATATGAAGGGGCACCAAAAAATGCAGCAATACATAACTGAGCAGCCCAGAACAAAGATTGGACTGATTCAGATCATCCAACATCATGGGAACACAAAGTAAGCACCATTTCTTCAGACCATGAAAAGATATTTTAGGTCATCCACTGTCAGGCGAGTTGCCGTCCCGCCAGCTTGATCTTCACCAAAAGCAGACGCCACCATTTTTCTCTTGTCTTCCTGAAAACATGATCCAACAGAAGGAGCTCAGTGGTAGAAAATGAGTTCTTAAATAACAGTGATATCGCAGTGAGGACGGGCAAAAGGTGGAAGACTAGAAGGGATAGGCAATATAGAAAAGGTCTCCAGAGTTTTGAAGCAGATACCAGAAGACCCAAGAGCAGCTTCTCAATCAGCCGTCATCAAGTCAGCTTTTATTCTTTAGGAGTGCAGATTTGCATGTTAAATACCTTGGACAATAATTTAATTTCCAGTTGTCTCACACATCCCATGACACAAACTAGAATTGTTCCTATTTCATAGGATGTCTCCAAAGAGACAGAATTCCTCTTTCATATTTTGGTGAAGATAAAAAAAAAAAAAGAAAAAAACAAATATAATAAAACTCCAAAAGGCACTGCATATGAAAGCAACGCCAACAAGGTGATTGGACACAGAGTTGAACTTGCAAATTACATCTATGATGGCAACTTGGGCCACAATAAACCTTTTCTCTTGCATATATTCGATAAACATAAAAAACTTAAAATATATATATATATATATAGTAGAAAAAGGAAGAGGAAAGAAGAAAAGGAGCAAACAATTCTGAACCTCAAATCAAACAACTAGAGAATGATACCTGGAGAGCCAAGATTCTATCTTCAACCGTATCTCTTATAGTGAGCCGTGTCACAGTAACAGGACGCGTCTGTCCAATCCTGTGAGCTCGATCAACAGCTTGGTCTTCAGTTGTTGGATTCCACCAAAGATCTAAAAGAACGACATGACAAGCAGCAACCAAGTTCAAACCAAGATTTCCTGCTTTTAGTGACATCAGCATGACAGTTACCTGAAACAAATTTCAGTTAGTCAGATATCAAAGAGTCATTTGGCAACGTTTATAGGCAGTCACATAAAATCCTACTTCAAAGTGCATCAAGCATTTTCATAAAGTTGTTAACGGAATGCCCTTGCATTCCACAGAACTTCAGTAACTAAAAATCAGGCTCTCTTATCAACCAACTTCTAGGTTTGGTCAAAATATTAAACAGCTGTAAAACTCTTAAGGAGGGCAGACCTCAGGATCAGTGTTGAAATCTTTAACAGACTTGTCCCTTGCGGCCAACGTCATGGTACCATCAAGTCTCCTGTATCGAATACCAGAGTCCTTCAGTGAATCTTCAGCTAAGTCCAACATGCTAGTCCACTGGGAAAAAACAATAGCCTTCATTGGTCCGTCAGTTGTGCTCTCTGAATATTTTCTTGTGTGCCTTGTAATAATCACATCTGAATCCAAGTTGTCAACATCTGAAGTTTCAGAAGGCAGTGAATTTCTAGAACGACCAGAGGGACTCAAATGTAGCTCCAGAATCTCGAGGAGTGCCTTGATTTTAGATGAACTGTAATTACTCTGCTGCACGACTGAATAATCAATGAGTCGAGAATTTGAGGAACTGCTATCACCAAGATCACCAGAGATGCAACTTCTTAATGTAGCTTTGGAGAAGATGACATCATCACCAATTTGTTCTCTACAATCAGCAGCTGGGCACATATTTTCATAACCCGTCAAATGTTCTGATACACACTGATAACAGAAAACATGGCCACACATGGTAACAACTGGATCTTCAGGCGTATCCTGTAGAAACCATAGTACAAGAACAATTAGCTCAGTCTCTTGCTAAACACATTTATTCTGTCTACCACGCTTTGAATAATCAATTACAGCAAAACAAAAAGGGTTTAAGTATATGATCCCAAAATGAGCTGGGCAATCAAATGGTAGAAAAATACAGAACATAATCTATTGCCAAAAAAATAGATAACATAATCCCAAAATGGAAAAAACCAAGTGGTACTAAACCGTTATGTAAAGGATTAAGATCACGTGCATGATCTAACATATAAACACACCCAAAACAAAAGCAGAATATGTTTTTTTGGAGAATAACAAAAGCAGAATATTGATGCAACAAGAATATACAGCTTTTGAACTTTTTAAACAGTAAAAATACTGTACCAAAAAAGATAGAGGCTTTTATTAAAGCAACTATCAGATACTTAACTCATGAATTAAAAAACAGCAAAGTTACACTTAAACCTGTGCGTTCAAGCCTTCCCCAAGTGGACATCCTAGTATACTGGTATCCTCACCATTTAAGAAATATATAGCATCCCAAAAAGAAAAGTCACACTTTCCACTTAAAACCTTAGACGTGCCATGGGAAAATTGAAACTCATGAAAAAATCACAATAAACAGTAAATCAATTTCTTCAAGCAATTATTGGCAAAGAAGGAAACAACATAAGAACATCTCATATCTGTAATAAACTCACATTGCAAACTTTGCAAATTGCAAAGGATGTTTCCAAACAATTGAAAAGATTAAGTAGCATCTCCCTTGGAAGTGTTCTCGCCATTTCTATCGAACTTTCCCCGACGAAATCAGAACTATAATCTTTAACAAGACGTGGGTGGTTGCAAGCCTGACGGAGACGTAAAAGCATTAAAAGAATGTTTGCATAATTTTGATTGACTGTACCAGCAGCAGCGTATGCCTGCAATGTACAAGCTTGTTATTTCAAGATTTTGATGTTTGAATACACAAATGGCATTCACAAAAATATCCATAGTGAGTTTAAAATCTTGTCAGCAAAATAACATTTACTGGTTGCCATTCATAATTAATTCGTAGCAGTTGTAGTAATAGAAGTAGTAGCAGCCCGTTTCAAATAGTGCATGCTAAGATAAAAACTAATTAGAAAAATCAACCTTAAATTGAGTACGTGAATCTGCTTCCAACTTGGTGTAGAAGGCCCGCTCCTCAATGGAGAAATCCACCTTATTCAGCTGAATAGTTTTAGGGGGCAAAGTGATTATAGGCTGTCCATCAATCAGTGTTCCTAGACACGCAGAAATTAAAATAAAAAAATATTAAAAAAAAAAGGACAGTGCCCCCTACCATACAGTTTATGGGACTCCAAGTCCATGGCAAATTCATATCAAATGTAAAACCAAAATCTTGATGGGCTGAAATGTACTTCAGCCATCAAGACAGAACTAATTTTTAAAATTCATAATAAATTGCTTTAGTTAAGAGGAGAACGGCAAGATATTATCAAGGACCTGAACCTATCCATGAATATAATCCATCCAAAATCAGACAGCTAAGAACTGGTCATTCACCTTTAGTACGACGTAGCATTATAGCCCTAAGAACTGCTTGAAGCTTCTTGTAACCTTGAATAGAATTTTTGGATATTGGCACTTTTATTGTATTGTAGAATGATTTATATACAGCATAAGGATCATACTTCAGGAATCTGAAGTAGCTATAGAGATCTTCAATAGCGTTTTGAATAGGTGTTCCAGATAAGCACCACCTTCTTTTGGCTCGAAGACTGCAGCAAGCTCTAGCCACCTGAGTTCTATGATTCTTTATTGTTTGAGCTTCATCTAGAATGACCCTGAACCAGCCAACTTTTGCGAGGGCACCAGATGCACAATCAAAAGAACTGTCAATTCCCTTTTTACCTTTTTTACACTTTTTATTTGCATTATTAGCCTTTTTCCTCTTTTTACCAAAAGCAAACTCAGAGGACAACCCAAATTTTTCCCCCATTTTTTCATCAATTTCATCCTCTTCAACTAAAGGTTGCTTTGGAACCTCATTAGTTACAATAGAATATGTTGTGAGGACGACATCATATTTTGCAAGTTCAACAGGATCCTTCGTCCTATTACCCCCATGATAAATCAACACAGAGAGCTTAGCTTCATCTCCTACTTTGTCATCCAATTCCCTTGCCCACTGTCGGAGAACACTAGCAGGGCAGACAACCAGTGTACCAGCAGCTGGTCTTTTCCTGCCAAGCACCCTTGTTGAAGATGAACTAACTGATTCAGGAACAGGCTTTATATCATCTTCATTCTTTTTAGATTTTTCCACAGTACCACCAGCATTATCATTTTCATCATCCTCATCCAAATTTAATGCTTCAGCTTTATGATTGCACATCTCATCTGCTTTCGATTTTGACTGCAATGATCTCTGCATTTGTATGAGGGCAATCATCGAAATTGTCTTTCCAAGGCCCTATTTGAACAACGCTTTTATGTTAAGCAAAAACACTTAGATATACATGTCAAGTGATGCTAATCAAACAAACAATAAAAACACAAGATGTAAAAATGCCCACCTGATCATCAGCCAGAATTCCCCCCAAGCAATGCAAGCTTCTGGTTTCCCTCTGAAGCATCCAAGCCAATGCAATTTTCTGCAGCATACAACTGTTAAAGCTCTAAAACATATAAGCAGCCTGACAAACTAATGAATCAGAGTAGACAAGACAGAAAACCTGATGTCTCAGAAGTGACACAGACAATAAACCATCAGGTAAATTAGCTTCAACTTTTGGCTGATTGAGATCCTGTAACAACCAAATTCATTCTTAAGAAAAACAAGGTATCTCAAGTGCCTGTAGATATTAGAATTAAAAATACCTGTAAAACCCCACAAGAGAGCATTGAAATATAATACCTAGTCCATCTTCATTACTTCATTTATAAAAATAAATTAAAAAGAGTCAACATTTAGTTTTCATTTTTGGCTTCTGACATTATCAATCTTGATGCATGGCAGTGATTCAATCATGACACGTCTAAAGAGCCAAATTTATGCATGCCTCTGATTCATTATTACTATAACTTAACAGGTACCCAAGTACAAAGTATGACAAAAGAAAAACAAGCAAGGTCCTCAAAAACCTCAACACCAAAAAGATTTGTAAAACATGTTAGTTGACATTCAAGATTAAGAAAAATAAACATGTCCTGAAATGCCATCATAATCTAACAGATCTAAGAATCTTGATGACCATTGGTTCTTACTCTGGCAACCTAATGTCAGGCATATATAAGAATTTCAACACCTTTCAAGCAATAAAAGTGGCAATTGATATCCAAAGAATGGGACAAAAGAACATAGCAAAGTGATCCACATTACCCTTTGTTATATCCAGGAATTCCCTTCAGTAAATCTTGATCATCTTTGATCATGTATGACGTATTGTAACAAAATGGGGCTCATTTAAAAAGAAGTTTAGTTGACACATTTTCAGAAGAGATTATGTGTTTTAATATATTTCTACATAACGTAATAGTCGGAATATCTGCATACAACTTAAGAGTATTGATAGCCAATTGATAAACTTGACAGCAACAAACAGTGATAGTACCTCCAGTGCTGCCTGATAAATTAGTCTCTCATCATTTTCTGAAGCCCTTTCTTCTGCCCCAGTACGAAACAGCTTCACTTGAGCTAGCTAACACTGTGTTAGAGATAGACTTTCCATGAATCATAGGTGGAGGAAGAATCCTAATCCCACCATTTTGATACATCATGCGTTCATCATTGCCCCTGCCATAGTTATCACGCAAAGCGCCCTTGTCACTGTTCGTATTACTTCCTACAACATGAGGAGGATTTTGATGAGCATCATATATCTGACTTCTGCTCACAAGTTCAAGTTGATTGATCAAGTACCAGGTGCAAATGACTGAAGAGATGGAAGTGGCTTTGTTGCAGCTGGCTGAGGCGATGATGAAAAGGTCCTCTTCAAAGCTTGTTGGAATGGTATTTTCTCATAATCAGCATCAGAAGATTTAGCAATTCGGGAATTTACTGTCTGAAACTGACTTGTGTTTCCATTCTTCAAAAAATTGAAAGATCCATCTCCATGCATGTTTGGCATATAACTGCTGGACCCAGGTTCAGTATAGTGATTATAAACACTAGAAGAGCTTGCATTTGAAGTATTTGCCCATCTCAAAGAATTATCAAGCACAAGCCCTCCACCATAACCTGCAAATGAGATTAAATACACCATGAAAATTAAATGATTTAAAGAACAATTTCATTACAAGAAAGCTTTCACTAGACTTCTTTTTTCTGACTTATCCCCAAAATAAAAAAATCACTAGATTTCTACCAACCAGCATTGCTTTCATGAGCAGGCCAACCAGAACGATTTCCATAATTTGGATTTTCTATCTCCTCCAGCTCCAAGTCATCATCTGATGAACTAATACATATGAACTCTAGCTGAGCCATGAAATCTGAATGCCTTTTCTTTCCTTGGCCAACCAGAAAGAGAATTGTCAAATACTATATCAATCAGCTGTCAAAAGCATCAAGAATATCCCTGGACATGACAACAAAAGGAAAGGACAGAAAGCTTCTACATACAAAAATGTCCTTGCTACACACTCCGTCTCTATTAGGTTTTAATATTAGGCTAGAAACTGAACCATCTATAACAAAACAAACTCTCCAAGTCAAGTTGATGGAATGATGAAAATGGTCCACAAGTCAAGCATTTGTCTGGAGCCTAAACTATGATCCAGCTCCCTTTTATTAAGCTACCTATTCATCACTAGAGGTCAGAGTAAAACTCCAAAAAAAAAAATTGAATAGAAAGCAGATCTCATGTAACAAATCAACTACAAATGAAATGATTATATGCTATTTTTTCCTTGCTAAAGATTCAAAGAGGTAATAGGGAGAGCAAAAATTGAGAGAAAAGCATACGGTCAAACAAAATATACAATTGGAAGACATAACAGAATTTTTAAAGTTGACCTCTTAAACCTTGTTCACACAGTTAAAACTTAAGGTTAACATAGAAATATAAAGCAAGCGGAGGCAGGCTTGCACATATATAATGGCAGCCACCCTGATAGGAATCTTTGGAAGAGTCATACCCCAAAAACTGGCTCATGATGTTGGAAAGCCAAACATCTCCATAAATCTCACATCAAAATCCCAACCTTCTGATGAGACTCAAGTTCCATACCATATGGATCATAACATTTAGACACAGTCACACGCTCCACCAATTGGCATCCACAGAGACAAGAGAAGCTCTATTACTATTACCCAGTGAAAGGATGGGGGGAGATTTTAAATCCAATCATAGAAATCTAACCAATAAGGAAGTTAAATGAAGTGTCACTAAATGAAATGTCACAAAGTACAGTTAAGCTCTCCAAGGGAGTCAATTGATGAGGACTTAGGTAGGATGGGATGCTTAAGTCCCATATTGATTAGTATAGGACACTCATTGAGGTATTGGAGAGGCTCTCCCACCTCAACAACTAACTTATTGGGAGGATTTCTTAGCCCACTTAAATACCCATTGGAGCCATAACCCAAAAGCTAGCTCATTACTCATGAGGTCACTAAAACATATCAAAGATTGGTTGGCAAGCTAATATTCTTATCTCACACAAGACTTGACATGTTTTTCTGTTAGTGTTGTTAGCCAGTACATGTCAAGCCCATTGAAGAACACATGAAAGTTGTCTTCAAAATTCTCAAGGATCTTGAGATGACACGACTCCTAGTAAAGATTAAAGACATATATTTCAAGAAAGGAAGCACAAGAGGTAATTAGACCTCTATTGATGTTTATTGAAACGGATCTGTAATTGGCAAGAGATCAACATTAGGCAATTGCACGTACATTTGGGAAAATTTGGTTTCATGGATAAGCAAAAAGCAAGCTGGTATGGCTAGTAATGTTAAAGCCAAGTGCCTAGCTTTATCTCATGGCATTTTGAAGAGCATGTGGCTGTGCTGAAATGGCTTCTTGATGCACTAAATGTTACAACAAAGGTTATGCGACAATAAGGCTATAACTATTATTAAAATCCCATACATCATTGATAGGCCAAGTAAGTGGAGCTTGACCAGAACTTTATCAAGGAGAAGTTAGTCTCCAAAATTATCAAACTTAATTATTCCTTCAAAATTCCAGGTAGCTGACATTTAGACCAAAGCCTTGACTAGGGTGAAATTTGAAGATCTAAATAACAAGTTGGGAATTCAATATTAATTCACCAGGTTGAGGAGTATTGGTATCTCACATTTATGGAGCTGATTAACTCACATATATGGAACTAAACTTTAGGGGTTAATTACGTCATTATTCTGCTTCATTTCCTTCCTTTACTAGTTCCTAATTTTCGGTAACACCTTGAATAATCACAAAACTCAAAAAACACCTGCATATGATCTCCCTCAAGATTTTACCAGGGACAAGGGCAATAGTCCATCAATGCTGGGAAACCCCCCCCCCCAAAAAAAAACCAAAAAAAAATTGTTAAATTGATTGATTCATCTGGTGAACTCATCCTCCTTAGAAGCACATTTTCCAGACAATTTACTTTTCAATGAAGTGGAGCACCCGACCAAAATTCCAATAAAAGGCCTGCCGAAACGCTCCTCACAATAAAGAGTCCAAAAAACAAAGTTACCTGAGCACCAATGAAGTCAGGTTCCTGCATAACACACCCAATATCCACCTGACATTCCTCAATCAAACTCCTAGTTCAAATTATTTTTCCTTTCCTCAGCTGCCAACCGGCTAATCTATCATCCACTTCAGTAAAAATTACATAAATAATGATAGTTCTCAAATCATGCGTTATATACATGCATTGCACTAATGAAGGGCATTCATATTCCAAATGAAAATGGCAGTCAAGAAAACGAAATTATATATCATTGTGTACTTCATATCACACAGACACCACGAGCACTTTCACTAAAGCGTACTTCCCAAGGGAGTGGGGGAAACCACATAATCCCATATTTCATATTAAACAATAAAAGAAAAAAGGGGGAAAAACTCTGATAGAGCATGGAAAACCAATGGGTACAAGGGAACATTTACAGTGAATGCTTGAGAATTACCTTATGATTTACCAAATGTGGCAGAAAGATCGATCCTTTACAGAGCAAATGGCAGGCTGCATCACTAGACCATACACTTGAGCCTAGGGTTCCCCCCACTTTTACTTCAAACAGCAGTCAATATACAGAGGAGCAAACAAATCACGCGCTTGATCGAGTTGACCCGCCCAAAATATGATTTTTCTCAAGGGATTAAGCAATTAAGAAAATGATTGAACTTTCGTAAAGAACGATGAGGGCGAATCAGAACCAAGAAGGACAGAACAGAATGCATCAGTTTCCGTTGTCCGCTATTTTCCAGATTTTGTCAATCCTATTTTTTTGTAATATTTTAAATTTTAAATATATATATTTCTTTTTTATGCATTTAAATAAACAAAGAAGCACCCACACTGTATTAGTTTGATTTTTTGTTTTTTAACCCACAGTTTCATTTCAATTAGTGAAGTACTATTATAAAACACATTTTAAAATATTGTTTAATCGCATTTATAAATCACAATGTAGCTTTTTAAGTAATAATTAAAAAATATTTTTAAATATTTTTTATAAAAAAATAATATAACATTATTTTTTAAATTTATTATATAGGAGCATATTTAAAATTTAACATACTTTTATTCCTGACACTTTTTTACATTAGTATTAATATGATTGGTAAAAATGATTGATAAAGAGAATGGAATGAGTACTTCAAAATGCTCAAATCATATATAAAAGTAATTTAAATTGGTGTCAATTTTGTAAGAAAATATTTTTTTCAAAAAATAACTTATAGCATACACTTTCTCCATATCATTCTATCTATAAAGAACTTGAATAATTATCATCATTAATATTAAATATCCATGTTAGAGTATAACAAATGCAAAAACTAAAACATAATAGAGTACATCAAATATGCCTTAGCTAAAATATAAATTTCCTTTTCTAATTTTATATAAAATTTTAGTTTGGTCTCTTAATTTTATAAAGTATTTTTACAATTATTTAAAAATCACACCCTTTAATTTTAAATGATTATTTTTTATACTAATCATGATTATTTAAAAAATAGAAAAACTTATATACTTAACTATATATATTTATTTATTATATAGATCCTTTATATAAAAAATTATTGTTAGTAATGTTATTAACACATTAAAAACTATTTATTTTGATTTAATTGAATAAAAGTATATCAAGTATATAAAATTAAATACATAGATCTTGTCCTTAAAAAAATAAACTTGATATTTGTTATTAATAAAGCTAACAGTGTTTGAGTTATAGGACTAAAAATATATTTTATAAAATTAATGAACCAAAATAAAATTTTAAAAGACTAAACATACACTTTACCCAATCCTTTTATAAGGATTTTTTACAAGTATCCTCCTATTAAAGATAATTATGTTTAGGGCACAATCATATACTAAATATAGACATCTCTTTCAATAGAGATTCAAATCTTTGTTTGCCCAAGAATTCCTATTCTCGCTTTCAAACACGGCCACAGCTGATGGAAAATATTAATCATTGGAGTCACAAGATATAGCCACTAACAATATACATCCAAATTAACCCTTCAACAAGCATCCATTCAATTCAGTGATAAGTCTACAAGCTAATTTAAAATCTCTTTTCACCAATTCAAGACATTGATATAATCTCCTAAATACAAATATGCAAACTATATATGGCCTATCAGTCATGAGACAAAATATTGAATTTGGCATCTCTTTTTTAACTTCTTTACAGTAGCTCCTCAACATATGATTCTCCTCTTTGTGATCTCCCTCAATCATCCTCACTTCCTGTCTTGATGCATTATATCATTTCATATTGTAACCTAAATGAAACAAAGATATAAACTCATAAACAAAGTAAGGTAGCTACAAAATGAAATCACATAAGAAAAAATGCAAAAGAGGAAGACAACTCAAAGAAGACGCGTATATACACATGTATACTGTAACAAAGAGTATGACAGAAAATACAGCCAAGAATAGAAGACAAAGCTCTTCTTGAATTTCATAATTGAATAGAAGCAGTAAAGAGTGATCAAAATCGACGCTCAATGTAATAGAGAATGCGTTGGAAGCCCTAATGTAGTGTGATCAAAATGGAACTTTTTTTGAAGAGAATAGAGGATGCAAAGAAAATAGAAGATGTCGGATGCTACCTTCAAAAACACTCGTGTGTTTTCATTCGTTATAGGGTTCAAAGTTAACGTCATTTGTGTCCTGTAAAAACCTCAAGTGATTTCCAAATGTAAAAAGGGTAACACATAATGGATGAAACATAAGGGAAATAAAAGCAAAAATAATATAGGTACCAAATTAAAAATTGAAAAAAAAATATAAATATCATCAAAATGGTTTTCGTCAAAACTAATTGCATGGACATTACATTCAACTATTTCAAAAAGGTTTCAAAATTTATATGAAATAAAGTACAGAAACTTATCATTTAATTATTCAATATTATTGCTCATCTAGTCATCACCCCCGATTGATTCCATGCACTGTTGACATAGCAATCCAACAACATAGACATAGTCAAGAAAAAACAAAAACAAAATAAAATAGCTATACATGTATAAGTAATCTACAAATAAATACTCACTCTGCTAAAAAATATAATACATTTTTTAAAAAGTTAGATATTCAAAAATATAATACATTTTTAATCTTTTAAGATGTAATCATCGTCTTTTTTTTCAAAATATCCCTATTAATAATGACTTTATATTTATTATAATATAATTAATAAAAGTGAATATAAAAAAATAGAGTTAATTTGAAAGTAGATAATTATTTTATTGAGAAATAAAATTTAATTAAAAATACATTTTATTTTTAACAAAAGAAGTATATTTTATTGGTAATATTATTTTAGGATAAGTATATAAATTTATTATAAGGTTCCGGAACCTAGCCATGGGCTGGAGTCACCGTGCAATCCAGGATTTTCATGCCACGCTTCAGAAGGTCAAGGAAATAATACAAAAAGAAGTAAAGAACTGTTGCCTACGAAGAAATTTCACAGATGAACATTGGAATATTTACAGGCAGCCCTACGCTGCATGAATGTTACAGTTACACAGTTACAGGTACAAAAGATGGCCTTGGGGGCGTCATAACCTATTGGCAACAACTAAGATAAACGAAACCCCACAAGCCAATATGAGCAAAACATGTCAGCAGGAACAAAATATGCAGCCGGTATATGTTGCTGTTAAATCAAAATGAGGAGTATTTTAGACCATGAAAAGATATTTTAGATCGTCCACTGTAAGGCGAGCTGCAGAACCCCCGCCTTGATCTTCACCAAAAGCAGATGCAACCATTTTTCTCTTTTCTTCCTGCCCAAACACAGACATAAGCAGAATTTATCACTTCTGTATCCATTACAGACTTACAGTGAGCTTCATCACAAAGGATAGGCAACATAAAAAGTTTTCAAGTGCTGTGGGGTTAAGTTCATTGACCTTAACAAATAGTAGAAGCCACAATGACCTTGTTCTCACTCGACTGCTATCTTGTCAACTTTTAGTGTTTATAACCCTAGCTAAAGGTACAGATTTATTCAATTGAAAAAAGAAAAAGAAAAAACTTTACTTGTCAATGGTCTGGGGGAATTTATCTACAATATTAATAGAAAAGTATTGTAGCAGCAGTAGAGATTTATACATGATTTTCATTGATTTGATAAAAACTTGTGATCGTATATCAAGATAAGTTTTTTGGAAAGCCTTGGAAATGAAAGGAGTTTGGGTTGTCTATATGAATGGGGCCAAACCAGTATAAGAACATCTGGAAGTGAGACAAAGGACTTTCCTATGGATTGGATTACGTCAAGAATCATCCTTAAGCCCTTATATGTTTGACCTAATGCTAGATGTTTTTGCAGATGATATAATTCTTATTGTAAAAAAAAAAAAATATTTACTACAAACTTGAATTATAGAGGTGGACCTTGGAGTTGAAAGATTTCCGCCTAATTTTGATAAGAGGTCAATCACTAGTAATTTAAAAGTGAAATTGAAAAATTAGATCATATTTCAAGTGAAAAAGTTTAGATAATTGGAAGCAAGTATTTAACGTGATGGAAAAATTGATGGAGATATTGCACATAAAATACAAACTAAGTGGTTTAAATAGAGAAAGACTAGATGATTTATTTATGATCGAAACGTACTTAATAAACTTAACAAAATTTTATTAACTTGCTATAAAACCAGCCGTATTATATGGTAATGAGTAATGGGCTTTAAAGGGACAACAAAAGTACAAAGTTGGAATAGCAAAGATAAAAATGTAAAGATAGATATGCGAGCATACACAAAAATATAAAATTCAAAATGAGCATATGCAAAAAAACAAGCATGGCATTTATTGAGGAAAAAATAGTAGAAAATCAAATGAGATAGTTTGGATATATACAAATAAGGCTAGGAGAAATACCGGTGAGGAAAGTAAGGCAGATAATCTTGAGCTTTTGTTAAAAAGGGTAAAGAAAGATCAAAGAGAACACTTATGAAAATTGTTGAACAATATTCCTAAAAATTTGATCGATGATACAGTAAAATGATATAGTACTATCTATGTAGCCAACCTCATCTAGTGGGATAAGGCTTATTGTTGTTATTGTTTTGTCAATGGGCCCTCAAACTTGGACCACAATAGAACAAATATCGAACTGATATATACCAAGTCAAACTAGCCAACAAACTTGACTTTTCCAGAGCATACAAGTTGTGATAGATAAAAATCCTAACCAGTTATGTGTCATCCGAAGGACTTAATGATCATCCCACATTCTATATATCACTTCAACGACAATGGCTATTCCATTTTGTATAATTTCGTTCAATAGATATAAAAGAAAGAGATAGTAAGAAAGAATGGGGATAGAAAAAGCAAAAGAGAGAATAACTCTTAGCTTCAAATCACCTCAAGTTTCACATTGGCTTCTAAGCTTCTCAGATGATCCCCATTTGCCCCCGAAATTTAGCCACATTTTGAAAAAGAAACCAAAATTTAGCTAACTAGAGATGCATACCTGGAGAGCCAATATTCTATCCTCAACTGTATCTTTTATGGTGAGCCGTGTCACAGTAACAGGACGGATCTGTCCAATTCTATGAGCTCGATCAACAGCTTGATCTTCAGTTGTTGGATTCCACCAAAGATCCAAAAGAATAACATGACATGCAGCAGCCATGTTTAAACCAAGGTTTCCTGCTTTTAAAGACATCAGCATGACAATTACCTGAAACCAATGCCAGTGAGTAAGGCATCAAAGAGTTGAAGACAATCCTAACTGAAACACTAGGAAAAGGAACGTGTGTAATTAGGCAGTGTGAAGAATCACATCAGTAGACCTACCCCGAATCAAACCGATTAATGTTCAAATCTGATCCAGTTTAATCAGATATCATATAGATGGAAAAGGGGGGGGGGGAAACAGCTATACAGCATGCGACTTCAAAGTGCATCAAGCATTATCATACAGCTGTTATTTAAATAAAAAAGTCAACTTCAAAAAGGTCAGGGATTGCTAACCTTAGGATTAGCAGTGAAATCCTTAACAGCTTTATCTCTTGCAACCAGCGTCATGGTTCCATCAAGTCTCCTGTACGGAATAGAGAATTCTTCCAGTGCACGTTCAACTAAGTCCAACATGCCAGTCCACTGGGAAAATACAATAGCTTTTATTGGCCCTTCAGTTGAGCACTCTGAATATTTTCTTGAATGTTTTGTAGGACTAACTTCTGAATAGAAATCTTCATCATCTGAAGTTTCAGAAGATGAATTTCTACTGCATCCTGAGGAACTCGGTTGGTCAGAACCTGGATTCTTTACTTTACAATATAACTGCAGAATCTCAAGGACTGCTTTGATTTTAGATGAACTGTAATTTCCCTGCTGTACTACTGAATAATCAACATGATGATAACTTGCAGAACTAGCATCACCAAGGCCACCAGATATGCCGCTTCTTAAAGTAGATTTGGAGAAAACAACGTCATCACCGATTTTTTCTTTGCAATCAACTGCAGGGCAGATATTCTGGTAACCTGTCAAATATTCTGATACACACTGATAACAGAAAACATGACCACACATAGTAACAACTGGATTTTCAGGTGGATCCTGTAGAAAAAACAGTACTAGAAGAATCAGCCAAGTCTCTTTTTTCAGGAGAACGACAATAATGTCTCAAAACTTGTAATTTATGATAATCAAGTCCTCAACAAAATTTTCTAAAAAATAATTTGCAAGTATTGATTCAAACAATTGTAAACAGGAATCTCAACTGTAAACTAAAAGTTATATTTAAAATTTAAACATCTTATTTATAGTTAGAACTCTTGAATTTATGACTACCCGAATAAATATTAACAACTGTCATATATTCATTGTTTTGGGACTCCAATATCATTCTCCCCTTTTTTTTTGCACTGTTTACTAAGCTATGACAAAATAACTAAAAAATCCAAAGCAAAAAATGATAAAAAGAGTAATAGCTATGACAAAAAGAAACTCTCACGTCAGTAAGCAACTCACACTGCAAACACCACATATGGCAAAGGAGGTTTCCAAGCAATTAAAGAGGTTAATCAGCATCTCCCTTGGAAGCATTTTTGCCATTTCAACTGAATTTCCCCCAACAACATCAGAACAATGATCTTTAACAAGAAATGGGTGGTCACAAGCTTGACGAAGGCGTAAAAGCATTAAAAGAATGTTTGCATAGTTTTGATTGACTGTACCAGCAGCAGCGTATGCCTGCAGTGTACAAGCATGTTATTTCAAGATTATGTTCAAGCACAGGAAAACTGTCCAAAATATTGCATTAGATGATATGACCATTTCACCGATGAAACATTTTATTTGCAATTCAAAAAGCTAATTTTAGTGCAAGATAAATAATGTAGAAAAGATAGACCTTAAATTGAGTTCGTGAATCTGCTTCCAACTTGGTGTAGAAGGCCCGCTCCTCAATGGAGAAATCCACCTTATTCAGCTGAACTGTTTTAGGGGGCAAATTAACTATAGGCTCCCCATCGATCAATGTTCCTAGACAGGCAAGAAATGTAATTCATAAAACAAAATAGGCCAACATTCACCACCCTAAGGTATATGTGACTCCAAGTTCATGGAAAATCTAGATCATGTCAACAAAACAAAACCTTAATGGATGAAATTGTATTTCAGTCCACCCCCGCAAAATAAAGTGTCTTGAAAAACATTTGGGAAAAAAAAAAACAAATGTCAAATTAAATGCATTTCACATGTACCCATTCAGTTAAGAGAAGATCGGCAAAAATATTTATGTGTAGAATCTATCAAACAGCAAAATCAAAAACCAGAGATAAGATCATTCACCTTTTGTACGACGCAGCATTATAGCCCTCAAAACAGCTTGAAGCTTCTTGTAACCCTGGATAGAATTTTTGGATATTGGTACCTTTATTGTATTGTAGAAAGACTTGTATTCAGCATAAGGATCATACTTCAAGAATCTGAAGTAGCTATACAAATCATCTACAGTATTTTGAATTGGTGTACCAGATAAACACCACCTTCTTTTGGCTCGAAGGCTGCAGCAAGCTCTAGCCACCTGAGTCCTATGATTCTTTATCATTTGAGCTTCATCTAGAATAACCCTGAACCAACCCACTTGTGCTAGAGGGCCAGAAGCACAATCAAAGGAACTGTCAAATCCCCTTTTTACCCTTTTTATTCTTTTTACTTCCGTTATGAGTCTTTTTCCTCTTTTTACCAAAAGAAAACTCAGAGGATAACCAAAATTTTTCTTCATTTTTTTCGTCAATTTCATCCTCTTCAACTAAAGGTTGCTTTGGAACTTCAGTAGTCACAATAGAATATGTTGTGAGAACAACATCATAATTAGCAAGTTCAACAGGATCCTTTGTCCTATTACCCCCATGATAAACCAACACAGAGAGCTTAGCTTCATCTCCAACTTTGTCTTCCAGTTCCCTTGCCCACTGTCGGAGAACACTAGCAGGGCAGACAACCAGTGTACCAGCAGCTGGTCTTTTCCTCCCAAGCACCTCTCTTGAAGATGAACTAACTGATTTAGAAGGTTTTAAACCATCAACTTCTTCATTCTTTTTAGAGTGTTCTACAGTACAATCGCACTTATCATTGTCATCATCCTCATCCAAATTAAATGCTTCAGCTTTATGATTGCACATCTCATCTGTTTTTGATTTTGACTGAAATGATCTCTGCATTTGTATGAGGGCAATCATTGAAATTGTCTTTCCAAGGCCCTATTTGCACCATGGTTTGATGTTAAAGCAAAAACAGATCTCCACAAAACAAAAAAATAATATAAGCACAAAAGAAATAAAAAAAGCTCACCTGATCATCAGCCAGAATTCCTCCCAAACAATGCAAACTTCTGTTTTCCTTCTGAAGCATCCAAGCCAATGCAATTTTCTGCAATATACAACAGTTAAAGATTGAAAACATGTAAACAACATGGCAAACTAACAAACAAATAGACAAGACATAAAACCTGATGTCTCAAAAGTGATACAGACAATAAACCATCAGGTAAAGTAGCTTCAACCTTTGGCTGATTGAGGTCCTGCAACAATCAAGTTCATTTTTAAGAAACACAACGCATCTCATTCTCCTAAAACTAATACTCTTTTTTATGAAAAATTAAGATTCTAACAACCTAATAACACAGAAACACAGCACCCAAATCAATATCCACAACTAAAGAAGTTTACTCATTGAGAACGTATAAATTGTCATAAGCCATGATTATATAAGGTATGCTTGCACTTTAGATATTCCATACAACTTAGTGTCAACTAAATAAAATTTAAAAAAACCAGGCAGCAGGTAGTACCTCCAATGCTGCCTGATAAATTAGCCTTTCATCAGTTTCAGCAGCCCTTCCTTCGCCTGCTCCAGAATGATATGTAGATTCACTCGAACTAGGCAACTGCAAAACAGAGGTGTTTCTTCCGTGCATCAAAGTTGGAGGAAGAATCCTACTTGCCCCATTACGATGATTTCCATGGGTATCATGAATCTGGCTACTGCTCATGTTATCTTTTAAACTGTTCGACCGAGTATCTGGTGAAAATGACTTGAGAGATGGAAGAGGCTTTTCAGTAGATGGCTGAAGATATGACGGAAGCATCCTCTTTGATGCTTGTTGGCATGGCATTTTTCCATAATCAGCACCAGCATTAGCAATTTGTGAAACAACTGTCTGATGCTGGTTTGTTTTTCCATTCTCTAAAGAATTGAAAGACTCATCTCTTTGTGCTACTCTGCGATTCGACATATTGTTGCTGGACCAAGGTTTAGCGCTGTGCTTGACCTGTGAATGACTATAAGCTCCTGAAGAGCTTGCATTCGAAGAATTATTTTCCCATTTAGAAGAACTACCCTGCTTAAGCCCTCCACCATAGCCTGCAGATAAAATTACATACACATTCAAATCTAAAGAATGATCTTGAAATTTCATTATGGGACAGCTTTCACGAGGGAATCACCCACCAGCATTACTTCCTCCAGCAGCCCATCTTGGGAGGTTCCTATAGTTAGAGGTTTCTGTCTCCTCCAGCTCCTGGTCATCATCCGATGAAATAATATATACAGAGTCCAGTTGAGCCATGAAATCTAAATAACCTCCTCTTTCCTTAACCAACCAAGAAAGAAAACCATCAACTATTAATCCATGTTGCTGTCAGAAACCATCAAGAATATCTCCTGACTTGACAACAAAACAAGATGGAAGATCTTCTTCAAACAAAAATGCCCTTACTCACCAAGTCTCTATAGGGTTGTGATATTAAGCTAGAAACCCAACCACCTACAAGAGAACAAACTCTCCAAGCTGAGTTGAGGAATTCATGGACATGATCCAAATTGTGGAGCATCGATTTGCAGCTTGAACCACATTCCAGCTCCTTCATTAAGTGAACTACTCATCAATATAGGTAGGAAAAGCGTAAATGAAAGTGAAAGAAAATATCGACTAAAATTCCAGTACAAGTGAAGAGCTCGTTGGGGAGAAAGGGGAAGGGGGAAGGGAGAAAACAAAATGTATGATTGAAAGAATGGATGACAGTAAGCGTACAACACCGACCTCTATCTCTAAATATTACATCGTGATCATGCAAAGACAATTAAAAGATTTACTTTGGGTCCATTGTGATCATTGCCTAAATATACAAAATTACTGAAACTGTCTTTCAAGTCACATCTGTTTCGATATATTGTTAGCTCCATTTACGTACTACTAATATGTTACTTTGACGACAGTAAACCCATCAACGCCTGGAGCCTCCTCCCCTTTCCATAAGCCGAAATGCTCCGATTAGTTCGTCCCATCTCAGAGGAGAGGAGAGGCCCAACCCCGGAAGAAATCCTCCTCTCAATAGAGTCAAAAGAATCTAATAACCTCGGCGGCAGTAAGGTCAGGTACATGGGTAACTGCCTGCCAATATTTATTTTTTATCAACCCGCAGTCAATCATCGTGTCTAGTAAAACTAACTACATGTCTCCAAATCAACACAGAAGCACAAATATGGTTATCCCTGTAAAATTAGGTGCATGCATTGGCATCAAATCGAAAGGACAATGACAATCGTGAAAAAAACATAAATTACAACCAGGGTAGCCCGGGTAGCTCCTGAAAAACAGAAAATGAAGAATTTCCAACTAATAGTTGAGAATTACATTATAATTTAGCAAATGTTACAGAATCGTCGAAAGAGAGTAATTTGTGAGATGAACAGCAAGCAAAACCAGGCACTCGAGAGTCAAGAGTCGAGACTAGGGTTTCCTCCACTTTCCCGCCAAAAGGCGATCACCGTGGCAGGCAAGAGGGAAGACGGCGTCTAGATCAAGTGCATATCGCGGTGCACTTCCCTATTAATCTGTCCGTCCGTTTCATCTCCCCCATTACTCCGTCGGGTCGTTTCATCCACTGTAAAGGATGGGCGATGTCATGTAATAGTAATGGGAACGACGTCGTCCTGTATCATTCAGGGTGAATCTCAGCCGTTGGTATAGTGCTATCTCAACCCCTTTTCTTTTCACTGGGATAGACATTGCACTGTAGTTCGTATCTCATCCTCTTGATGGGCCGGGAATGCGCAGGTGGGAAATTTCCAGTTCTTCACACTCTGGTCTTCGATGAACAGATGAGCCATTTTTGGACATGTCTAGGATAATAAGGCCTGCTTGTTCTTTATCATGGAATAAAGGAGAACGCGAGACTAACCGCCGGCAGGAGAGACTCCCCCCCGGGAGGTTGGGGGGGGGGGGGGATGGTGAAGAGTTGACGCCGAAGCAAGCAACAGCGAGAATCAGAGAGACAGGGTGGAAATAAATGTTTATATAAAGATTAGATATCAGATATACCCTCTAATCTCCAATACTTACGTTGTGTATCCGGTGCTTAGCCGGTGGCCATCACTTTGATTTGGTTAGCTTGCATTGGCTTATTTCATAAAAGAATTATTTATTTAAAAAAAATTATTTGATGAGTTTTTATTATATTTTTTTAAGTTTTTAAAGATAACCAGAATCTAAAAAAAATAATTATATTAAAAAATGACTTCAAGTAATTTCTAACTAGTCAAAAAAATAAGTAATTTCTAAAAATAATTGGTGGATGAAATAGTGTTTTAAAGAGATAGTATACACATAGATGTTATAAAAATTTTAAAATAACATGATAATAAATTATTTTTATAAAAAAGAATTATAAAATTCAAAAAAAATTAATTAATAATTATTTTTAATTATTGTAAATAAATATAAAATAATGTCTGCAGTTTATAAAATCTCTATAAAATAAATATTTTTTATAAAAAAGTTTAAATTACTTAAAACTTACTTATTTTTTAAGCTAAAAAAATGGGCCTTAGATCTAGATTATTTAAATTTTTATTAGGTTCAAATTTAAAGTTTTAAAATTTTTATTTTTATTTTATTTTATATTTATTAAAATAAAAATTCACAAGGTGTTTTAATAAGTAATTTATCATCAATTGAGATACTATAGCTTTAATTTGAATTATCCAATTTAATTTTAATATTTTTATAATTTTTATAAATTATCTTAAAAATTTTTATTTTAATAAATATGATATTAAAAATAAATATAATATCTTAACTAGTACTTTTCTTTTGAAAAATATTTTTAAAAAATTTATTAATTTAAAATTTTAAGTGTAGAGTATTCTGAATAAATTTAAATAGTCCGTTTATAAAAATTTAATGTTCAAATTGGCCAATCTAAGCTGTGGTTGCCAATAAATATATTTACTAAAAAAATTTATAATCTTATACACTTTTAATATAAACTTAAAACTTTAAATTTAGAATATCCAAATTAAATCACTTGATGGTCCAAATTTCATCAATGGTGCTTGAAGGAACACTAAAGATGTCTCCTTCATAAAATTCTTGATTAGTTAATCGTTAATAATAAAATGTGGCCTCTTCAGCGTTGGATTTGGATGCAAAATACGTTTTAAAAGTATATTTGATTTGATTTGATGACTGATTAATCTTCTCTGAACAAATCCAAAAATTAACGTGCACACCTCCTCATTTTTCATCAAACGAGGGGTGGCCCAATGCAAACGCAAACCACCTCAGCTTTTGCTGGTAAAGGTTGGCTTAATGCTCAACGTGACAATGAAGGAGAATCATGTGACAATGTAATGTACATTGGAGAGACAAAATTGCCATGACATATGATTTTAATTTTAAAACGAAGAAAGACTTGGCGTGCAAATAAACTTCAATTGAAGCATATAGCCAACATGCCTGGTCAGAAAAGACACTCCAAGCAAGCCAATCACCAAATCACCACGGCCAATTTGAAAATTTCGTTCACTGTAAAGCCGAGGTTCGTGCATAGTGCTGCTGCATAAAAAGGCATCACAGAACCTTATACAAGCACAAAAACAAAAACAGAAAACTAGAAAAGATATCTAAAGGTATCTCGTTTCCATGAGTCTAGGTCCAAGTGATAGTGAAATTTGAGGCCAGCCGCGATACGTCATACATCACTTTGCTATGAGGATCAGCTTTGCGAGCAATGGTGTGTCTTTCCACACTTGCCAAATTAGTGTTTGTCTCCACACTCTTTTCAGCTTCGAACGTTGAAAAGAGCAAAAACAAAAGCTCGTGTTTTATGGATTCTTACGTGGATGAGGACGACTGTTTTTGGGGTGCACATGTAAAAGGCTGAAACCTCCGCCAACTTTATTGCAAACTCAAACGGACAAAGCGCCTACAGCGACGCCTCATCCTCCTGAGGACACGCTTCTGTGTGAATCTGTGGCCGCATTTACTTCGTTGAAAGCTACCTGACCATCTTCTTCTAACTGTAACCAACCTTTTTGTCCCAATCCTTAAAGAAAAGTAAGCGGACAATATGGAGTTATGTTTTGGGCAATTTCTCACACACTTCCATCCCTCTGCTTCGATTTTCGAAAGCCTCCGTAGCTATCAATTCGACTACTCGAGCCTCTGATATTCACTACACAATATTTATCTGCCAACTATTTCTCGCTTTAATCTTGGCTTCTGGATAAGTACTATATATGAGATCATGCAACAGCCCTAATTGCAACGCGATGTAACAGTGTTGTTCTTTTTAAAACTTTGAGTATTTGACGACTGATGAATCCAACAATTTGCTTGATTGTTAGTTCGATTAAGATGTAAGATGATAGAGCCGTTCTTAGTGGTTACCATCAGGTGTTAGCGGAACATCCAAGTCAAACTAATAATAATACTGGCAGGTAATGGTGTTAAATAATTAATATTGAATAGTATGATAGTAATAGTAACAACAATTGCAGTTGCAGCTGGCAGCTTGGGATTCCTCTAGCATGGGAAGGCTATGGTGTCAGTAAGGGGCAATAGCAGGCAAGGGAAGAGTTATGTCAAGGGATAGTAAATGTTTGATTCCTTTTTATAATTAACCAATTATTTACCCCTGTTTGTGCCCACTGTAACTGCCCTTCCTGTGCCTTTTTATAAATGTTTGATTCCTTTTTAATTATCATTATTCATTACTATTCGGTGTTATTCCATGTACCGGTAGTGCCTCATCATGATCGTGTCATTGATTTTCATTATTTAACCATTTTTCTTTTAAATTAGATGCCCTGTTAACCAGTTCACTGGTGCTTCTCCATCAGGAATTTCACTTGTCAAGTATTTTGCTCACCACAGAGAACTTATAAAGGTTTAACTGTTATTGGTTGGTCACTTCTATGTCCCGCTACTAAATCCACAGGTACGAGTAATGATAATGTTAAATTATATTAAAAAGGAAAATTTTTCAAAAAGACTTGACCACGGTTTTTATTGTTGAAAAAGACTTGGGATACTAGACCCTTGGCTGTCAATAATTTTAGGAGCCAAATGACTTCAATGCCCTTAACAGTAAAAAGAATAGAGAGAGAAGATTAAGTAAGGTCCTTCACTGTTAACATGCCAGACAAAATTCTTTGGTGACAATTCATTGAACATTAAAGCATAAGGTCCTTTAATATTAATATATTAAACAAAGTTCTTTAGTGTCAATATATCACATAATGTCCTTCAATATTAATATGTCTACACCTAAATGTGCACTTATGGAAATTTGTTGTATATAATGAAAGATGGCAGAAGAAACATTGTATATTATGAAAAAAAATCTCCATCTGCAAAAGATTATTGCATTTGATGGAGAGTGCTGCATGTGGTGAGAGATTATTGTATATCATGAAATAAATTTGCATTTGCGGTAAAATATGGCATATGACAGGAGAATCATTACATATCATGGAAAAAACTTACATGTGACGATAGAGTGTTGCATATTCATAAGAGGGATTGCATATAACAAAAACACTGTATATTGTAAAAGAATTTGCATTTGTAAGAGAGTGTTGCAAATACAAAAAATGTTGCATATGTGAGATAGTGGTTGCATATAATGGAATAAACACTGTATATTGTGAAAGAAATTTACACATGTAAGAAACTGTTGCATATGATGAGAGAGATCTTGCATGTCATAAAAACTTATTATATATGAATAAAAAGGAATCATTGCACCTGCTTTTTCAAATTTCATGAAAACGCAAATAGATATCATGAAAATGAAAATGGATATCTTGAAATTTTTCACAATTTTTATGAAAACATAAATGAATATTCTATATTTTTTTCCAATTTCCATGGAAATGCCAATGCATATTATGGGGAAAAAGCATAGACAAAAAAGGAATCATAGCCTCTATTTCTTCAATTTTCATTAAAACACAAGTGGATATTCTAAAAAATTCCTCATTTCTCGTGAAAATATTAATGAATATTTTAAAAATGCAATGTTCATTCTACTAAATGAAATGAAAAGGTAATGCAAGATTTGATTCAGAATACAACAATGAAACTGAGTTACCATGAGCATATGATCTTCCTACTCTCGCTTGTATAATTTAGGAAAAACATGACTTTGGTCTCTATACTCTGCTTACATTTTGTTATAAGTTTTTATACTTTTTTGACATTTTAGATCCTTATATTTTTATTTTTCGATGTTCTAAGTCTCAAATGAACAAAGTAAAGGGATTTAGAATACTAAAAAATAAAAATATAAGGATTTAAAATATTAAAAAAGTGTAAAGATTTATAATAAAATGTGAGTAAAATGTAAAGATTTAAAGTTATATTTTCTTATAATTTATCAAAGGTGAGGCATTGTTTGTGTTGTGCCTTTTCTTCTGTATTTGATGCTTTTTTTAATCTTTATTCAGCAAACGGATTTGTGGAAGGCCAGGAAATTGACACAACCTGTTGACATGAAAAATCCTCACCACCATATTGCAAAAGAACTATAAACAAAAACTAGAATCATGCACGTGAACTTGAAACAGTGGATGCAATGAAACATGCAATTTCTTAAACATGTGGATGAGCGAACGGTCAATGACATGAGGGAGAGGACGGGTGAATGGCAATCAATGCTAAGGGAAAAGGGCATTTTCATCTTTTGCTCGTCTCATTTTATGCCACCAAAGGACCTCCTATCATACAAGTTTCAAGGTTTCTTTCCACAATTAAAATTGTGATGAGGTTGGTTTTAGCAATTTTCCTTATTAAAACCGATACAGGGGGTAAAATAAATCAAAATCAAAATCAACGGCAAAGTAGAATAATTTAATTCCGTCAATCAATGTACAATAATTACTCATTTTACTCTCTTACTTTTTTTTGCCCAACTGTGTGCATAGCTTTTAATGCTCCTATCCTATAAAGTAGACCCTTGTCCGAATCACAAGCTAAAATGAGTTAGTATAACGTCAAATAC